GACATTTGCTGTTGTTATGTAAAAAATATCTTGTGATGTATAAATAAATTTTCCATCCTCATAAACATATTTCATTGGCGTCCGCGCCGAAGCGCGGCGCTCTTATGGAATGAGATCAGATTTTGTGAAAGGGCGACAGCAACTTCTCGAGCCTTTTAGTCGGTCATAATAAAAGCCGAAAATTCCGATCGGTATGAGGGTGCTTGATTATTAAATAAGAATGAAATGTCGCGATATGTTACAATGAATTTTCGCAATGCAAACATTTACAAATGAAATAACCTTTTCCGTCAATAAATCGCGCTCTTCGGGGTTTTTTATTTATCATTTTGTAGTACACAGTCGGTTATCATGTCATGGTATGTTATTGTTGTACATGTATCCTAGAATGATCAGTTGATGACCTAAATATTCCAAAAATCTATTTATAGATATATCTTTATGTACACGGATTTATATGTAATATAAATCCGTGATATGTACAATAATTGAGAAAAAGGTACATTTTTTATGGTATCAAAATGACATTATCAACTTTGAAACATTTTATTTAATTATTCAATTTGTTATCCGTGTTTAGTAAAGATGCCGAGGAATTATTCAAAGTTACAAATTAGATTTTATGAATTATTCAATTGATCGATAATTTAAAAAATGATAAAGAAAAATACAATGTACATGTACATGGTTTAAGAATAAACAATATTATATATTGAAAGATAAACCATAATTTACTGACTTTTTCCAGTTAAGCTTTGACTTATAATCGTCGGTCAATATGACAATTGAATTCTTAAAATTTATTTTACAATTTTAATAAAAAAAGAGTAGTAAAAACTCAGTATTAAAATAGCACATAAAACACAAAAAAGAATAAAAGAAACAATATTCATAAAATTTGTATTTTTTTTAAATTAAAAATTAATAGATATTACAATTATTGTATAATAAACAATTATGCTCAACATGATCAACATGGTAATATAACCAGTACGTGTCATATTTTTACTAACTTAAAGTGTGAACAGATACCTTAAGGGGGTCTTCGCTAATAGCGATAACATGTACATAATAAGGGACAAATGTGTGGTACGTGTTGATCATGCGTTACACATATGGATTATAAATGATTGCATACATGTATATCCGTTGCTATTAATAACCACGATCATAAAGAAATAACAAGTAATATTCTAATCTCTAGCATGCCAATCAAAGTTCATAATGAACAATGTCTTTCGTCCGCTCATTCATAAGTGGTATACATTTCTGGTAGTTTATAAGAATATCTTGTCATCATATGTGTACTAGTTCATCTTCACTTGCTGCATTTCTTGCTTGGACGCCCTTTGATGCTTTGCATCAATGCTTTTCTTGTATAAAATATTGAACTAGTTCACATTTTTTTCTATATAATTATGCTACTGACCTACAAACTAGGCAAACATAAGAGTTGTCTTTTTTAGGTAATGATTGACAATTTCCTTTCAGGTTCAAATACATTTTTCTCTCTTTCTATAACTCTTTACAGTCTCGCTGTTTTGAATATACTATTCAATAAGTACAATATGTATTGCATTAAACATCATATACATATTTCAGACAGAAACACATGATACACGAGATAGCGTGGAGAGATACATATTACATTTTTGTTGTTTAAGATTAACATTTTCTGAAAGAGTATGTGCATAAATAATTGAAAATTGTTTGTAAAAATATTATAAATAAGATCAACAAGAAAAGGTGGCGTTCAATGAACGCAACCCACACGCGAGCCAGCGGCAAGAACCAGCAGCCAGGAGCCCAGGAGGACCCCAAGTAAGTCTCAAAGCAAATAAGCATTATATATGATTTTACATAAGTTTTTTTCCGCTTATTACTTTGGTAATTGTTTGCATCGTAGACAAAGTATTGTAATAACGTTTTAGTATTTTATTCGTAATTCTTTTAATTTGTGACAAATGGGTAGAAAATGCTTTTCGTTTTCATTGCATTTGAGTTGCAGTTTAAAGTATCTAGGTAAGTTAATATATCAACCACGTTCTACCGGTAAACCATATACGAATTCGTGTAATATGATATTTTCTTAATTTTAGTTTTGTATAAAATTGAGAAAGAGTTTTCTAACTTACATTTATGCTTCAACAAACAATTAGTTTTGAGACGAGGAGAAATATTAATTAACAAGTTTGTTTGAGTAGCAACTTACAGGCTACAATTGATTTAATAAAACATGTTAAATCTTCTCTGTTTTTAATACTATTTAGATCAATTTACATATTAAACTGGTTTTGCCAGATATGCATTAGACAATGTTTATGGCGTATATCTTTTATTTCATGGGTTCAATTATTACCATTGTATTTGTGTCCTAACTGTGTGTCCATCAATAATATAATATAGGTTTAAAATAATAATGATTTATTATCTAGGGTGAGCAATTTTAATCCAGTATTGACGTAAACATATACATGTAATGTATGCTGACAGATTTTAAATAATCATTATTTTTTATTGACTGAACATTTTAATCGGAGCCCAGGTATAGCAGTAAATTTGTAAATCATTTTCAATCGATTGTAAAGCTTTTGGGTTATTTGCAAACAGTGCAATATTAGATACATATACAAGGTGGTACCTTCCATGTTATGTGTGTTTTGTTCTTCCCCGATATTTGTAACTCTAACAAGAATTGTGAGTATCCAATGGCTGTTTATTATTATCATTATTATTATTATTATTTTATCTGGAGATATTCACACGAATCATGGCCTATTGTCAACAAAGTCCTCAATTAATCATATTTGTCCACTACGTCTTTTATATTTCAGTACCTTACAAGCTTTATGGCGAGAAATGTCTGTCAAACAATGCCTTAAACATACTTTTTAAACTACTTTTTTCTGTATATTATACATTCCCATTAAGCCATGTATTATACTTATTTGCTTATAAGTACTTTATATTTAAAAAATGTATATACATGTGTATTCATGTTAAGCAATGATTCAATGAACTAATCTGTTTTTCAAAAAGTCAATATTAATCTTTTACTCTCCGTTTAATATATGTAACTATTTGTAAAACAAATTTTAGAAAAACCAATAAACCGAACGAAAACAATTCTTCTATTGAATGTTGTCCAATTCATCAAATTTCTGAGAACCGGAAAACCATTTCCTTGCCTTTGTACTGAAGCATTATGGAATGTGATAGCGTTAATTGAGTATTTAAGTGGCTACACATGTCTCCATTGTTTCATGCCATACTTCTGTCTAGAATTTCATATGTAAATATCATTAACATTTATGTTAGTTATTGTGTTCTTTGTTAGGTCGCTTGCATACCAAATGAAAACATATTAAAAAACATGAAAAGATTTTACTTAATCCGGAAATCATAACTCAGACTTTAGATATCTCATGTTTTGTTAAACTATTGAACACTACACAACCTGTCATGAATGGCGTATTTTATTAAGCATTTAATGTCACTAGTAGTTTATTCGTCAAATGGAATAAACATTTAAAATGCAGTCATAGTGATTTAATTAATCAAAAACAGAATGTTGGAAAAGTAGATCAAAAATGTATTTCCTTCTGACAGAATGATTTGGAATAAGAAATTTTCATTAATTAAATATTTTGATAATTTGATTTGTTCAGTTTTTGTTTAACATGAACACTTTATAAATATCAAAATTAATATTGACACACTTTTATGTTTCATATTACATGAAACAGAAATACAAAATCCTCCTGAAGCAGTGCTGTTAAAGACATTAAGTTTGTGGCGTATATTTTGTGATATTCATCTATAAGTTTATCATTATAATTATTAAATTGTGATTACAATATTAACAAATAAGCTGAGTTTACATATGAACGTAACAAAAAAGTAACACAAAGGTAACAGGGCTGTATAAATAAAACTTACAAACAAAATATAAGCAATATAGGTTCTTCGAGGACAAATATTTGGAATGTAGAATTTCACAAATATTTTCTATCAACGATTTCGAATCAAATTTGTTTTATTTTGATTAAGTTCGTGAGAAATAAACAAAGCGAGCGTTATGCATTGACAAGAGGGTATGGAACAGAATCACCAGTTTCATAAATGTATGATTTCATCATCAATGTCATCAATGATTGATATAATCTAGAAGGTGATGAGTAGATTACCATTAATATTACTTTTTTTCAGGATTTTGACCATTGAAGTGAGTTAAAACATAATAAATGATACTTATTGCAAAATCGTTAAGCCCCTTAGCACTGTTTTTTTATTTCTATACTAATTATTTAACTTATCAGTATTAAAGTATTCTAACTTACATTGAGTAAGAGTTAAACATATTTTGTTTTAAGTTAGACGAATTTGTTGAGACATTTTGTTATGTTGCTTTTACCTATAATCGCTGAGTTACTTGTTGTTACACAATATCATTTTGGAAACAACGTGTATTTGATTAGTAGATGTAACGAATGCATTTTTATCAACTTAAGTATCATAAAGTTCTAAGAAGATTTTACACATTACATTTCAAAAAGCATAAGTAGAAAATTATATCAAAAAGCTGCACTGTGTGTGCTTCAAGTTTATTTCATGAATAACATGTACATTGTTGTAAATAACGGTGAACACATATTGTAGAGCTTTATTTCCGTAATAAGATCATGTTATATCAATGTTAAACTGTTCTCGCTTTGTTTAATACTGATACATCTAAAATGACGAGAAAGTGTAAAAACACACAAAAAACAACAACAACGTTAGAACAAACGGAACTCCATTTGTCTTCAAGATTTTTTTATTGGCCAAGGAATGTGAGAAAACCGGAAATACTACTTCCTCGCCTTATGGTTAAAGTGTTCTTGCAGGTGTAAATGTTAATGGAGTAAGTGCCTACTGCCATATATTACAAATCGTTCTCTTCCCCTCAAAGTCGAATATTAGCTTTCTTTGTTGTTATGTATTTACTTTAATATATTTTATAAACATATAAAATAATTTATAACATTGTTGTACTTTTCGTGAATTGAATTCCCTTCCACTGATATGCTATTTTAGGAATTACCATTAGCCAATCAGGGAGTACAATGTTATCACATGACTTTCTTAACCAATCAAAACCCGGCATCTTCATTCTTAGCCATTATTTTGCAAAGGATAATACGCTTACTCATTTTGCTCAAGATTCTTTCATTTACGCTATAATCAAGTCATATCTTAAACAACATTATACGGTAATAATTGATAAAGGTGTTTTTACATCATATTAGAGGTAAATCCCTGCAGCACGGATATGTTGAAGTGATAAATTTTGACGTTTTTGTTCTCGTTACTCAAGTCAGTGCGTTTCGCAGAGTCAAGATGGCCGCTTCCATCCAAATATTTGGACATTCATTTGTGAAACGTCTGAAATACTTTCTACGCGAGCAAGTGCAGCTGCGTTTCAATTTAAACTTATCTTCATCTCCTCTGGTACAATATTCTGGCTATTCCGGAGCAGTGGTCGGCACATTACGGTCAAATTTAACGGACATTGTGGATTTTTCACCTGACATTGTTGTTCTATTGATTGGAACAAACGATCTCTTTAATCCAGAGGTAACGGCAGTTTCCCTTACGTCATCGATTTTGGATTTAGTTGACAGTCTGATATTCTTATGTCGAGTCAAGAAAGTAGTGGTCTGTCAAATTCTGCATCGTCAACCGACCTCCACGGGCAGGTACAGAGTGGACACAGAATGGTTCAACAACCGGGTCGATGAGACGAATCATTTGCTCTCTTCCAGAATTCAAATGCTTCCACATGATCACGTCATCTTCTGGCGTCTCAAAGGGTTTTGGTCACCTGAGGCTACAAAACAGTCCTTTTCCTCGGATGGAGTACATTTATCTGATGTGGGCCAGAAGAAGTTGTATTCAAACATCCGTGCTGCAGTGGTTCATACATTGAACAAATGGCTTCTATAAGAATCAAGATATGTATATGTTTTATATTTCTCACTGTTCGCTGTTTTGCGATGACTTTCAAGTTGAGAACTATATACAGCCTTTTATATTATTTATATCTAATGTATACAGTTTAAGTCACAACTACAATATTTTAAGCTACGTTACTCTTTATTTCAAATACGGATAATGTCTTAGTGGTTCTACGTTTATAATGGTTGTGAAATTATGCTTACCATTACACACAATCGTTCACTTGTGTTAGGGTTAAAGAAATGCCAATTTTTTATGATATAGGTATTTCACTTGATGATACTGTACCAGTCAGTTATGTCGGCACTAAAATGTCACTGTTTCGTATGGCTATGTTTGGATAAACGTTTTTCCGATTGCTATGAAGTAAATGTTTCTTCAGACAAAGCTCCAACGTATTTGTGTCGGGACTATGTGTTTTTGCAGGCTATATTTTAACTTTCCAGACCACGTCTGATGTATTGTTTGTCCAGACTATGTTCTGATGTTCATGTTTCCAGACTATGTTCTGATGTTCATGTTTTTCCAGACTATGTTCTGATGTTCATGTTTTTCCAGACCATGTTCTGATGTTAATGTTTTCCAGACTATGTACTGATGTTAATGTTTTCCAGACTATGTACTGATGTTAATGTTTTCCAGACTATGTACTGATGTTAATGTCTTCCAGACTACGATCTGATGTTAATGTTTTTCCAGACTACGATCTGATGTTAATGTTTTTCCAGACTAAGATCTGATGAACATGTCTCCAGACAGTGCTCTGGTGTAAATGTGAATACGTTCGAACTGTTTTATGTATATTTTGTCAGTCTATGTTATTATATACATTACAATACTGTAGTGTAATTCTATTCTAGGTTCGGCACTCCATGTTAATTCAGGTTAATTGGTTCATTTATAACCCATCCCTCTTTTTTCCTAATTTCAGATGAAACGCAACAAACGTACGGCAACAGTTAGTAAATGTCTGTTACCATGTTGTACGGCGGGTTCATCAAGCCATGGTCCAGGGGACGATGCCATGCACAATGACAATGTGACAACAAGGCATATTGCGAAACGAACAAAATCTAACAATCCAAGTAGACGCAACAAATATAAACAAAATGCAAACAGTCCACCTACGCCGTCACGGCCATCTTCAACACACAGAGAACCTACACACAGCCATCCGCCACCACCACCGTTACAGGTCCTACAGAGTTCAGACACCAGCACTGATTCAGAAGAATCTGATGACCCAGAAACTGATGATGACTTTTTTAATTTAGACAGTGTAGTTAATAATCACACATATAACCTGGCAGGTAACATTGGCTTGTCCCAATTTGAAGAGCCCGTTTCCACGCCTATTTCACATTCTATTCCAAACAAAATAATCAGGAAAATTCAATCAAACAAATTTGTAGATTTTGCCTCTCTTTTGCCAAACATGGCACTATCAATGTCACATCAGGACCAATTTTCACTGACTGTTAATTCCAAGAACCATTTGAGCCTGGTCCCCTCAACAAATACTAAAAGAATCCATAACATTGACTGTTGGACGACTGCGTTCTTAAGGTTTGTGGCAGTCTACTCTGCAACCTACCCGCATGAGACCCCACAGTTAATGAAATATGGGGAAATTGTGCGGGACCTAGCTAGCCGGAGACCGGGCCTTGCCTGGTCTTATTACGATTGCCAGTTTCGTATGTTCCGGGAACGGCAGGTTATCCCCTGGGACAGAATACACACCGAGTTTTGGGTCATGGCCACAACCCACCAACCATTTCCGGTCCAATTTCCTCCATTTCAAGGCAATCGGCCCTTTCGTTCAATGCCCAACAGGTCATTCAGGTCAAACCAAACCTCAGGACGGAAACAGTCCAGATTCCTTGAGAACACCTGTTGGACATACAACAGAAGAGGTGTCTGTCAAACCCCACGATGCCTACGGCCCCACATCTGCGGCTTTTGTAGAGGTCCACACCATTCCGGCCAATGCACTTATTCCAGCAAAGAACAAGCTTTGTCAGCGGTTAACGCCCCAACATCCACAACTACCCACACAGCCTCAACAGTCCGTACTCCAAAAAAGTAGGTTAGACCACTGCCTCACAACCCCCATTAAAGTTCACACACTAGCTCAATTCTTAAAAGGTTACCACAATTTTGATTATTTGATCAACGGTTTTACACATGGTTTCAGTTTGGGTTACATTGGTCCCCGGGAATCAACTGTGTGTTTTAATTTAAAATCATGCATAGAGCTTCCAGAAATTGTTCTCACTAAACTTCAAAAAGAACTTTCAGCAAAGCGAATAAAAGGCCCTTTTTCAGAAAAACCTTTCAACAATTTTCATATCAGTCCCATTGGCTTAGTTCCAAAGAAAACACAAGGAGAATTCCGATTGATACACCATTTGAGTCATCCTAAGGGCAAGTCCATAAATGACCACATTGACCCACAACTGGCTACAGTTAAATATGCCTCTTTTGACGACGCTGTAACAGCCCTGTTACAATTTGGTCCAGGCTGTTATTTTGCGAAAACAGATATTAATGATGCTTTTAGGATAATACCTATACAACCGAAAGACCATGATCGGTTAGGTATCTTTTTTCAAGGCAATTATTACTATGACACTTGTTTACCAATGGGAGCGTCCAGTTCATGCGCTATATTTGAAGCTTTTAGCTCTTCCTTACAATGGATTAGCATAACAAAATTTGAACATCCCTACCTTAGTTCTCATTTTAGATAACTTTTTATTCTTTGGCCACACTTTTAATGAGTGTCAGGGTTATCTTAAAAAAATTCTTGCCATATGTAATGTCACCGGGGTTCCTATTAAGGACGAAAAAACTGAAAACGCTCGTCAAGTCATAACTTTCATGGGTTTGGAACTGGACTTACATGGCAAATTTATATTTACAAGTTTAAACTTTCTAGGCATATAAAAATAAATTTGCCCCTTTTCAATCTACAACCTTGTTACTTTTCTATTTTCCCATACATAGTACACAGGGCCGAAGTTTGGTTGTAAAACAGATGAGATAAATATATTTTATAAACATATAAAATAATTTATAACATTGTTGTACTTTTCGTGAATTGAATTCCCTTCCACTGATATGCTATTTTAGGAATTACCATTAACCGCCGCCTCCCTTTTCCTCCACCTCTTATTTCGTTTACTCTCTGTTTGGCTGTTGGTGTTTATTATTTCTTATAATTTTGACATCACTTCTCTTTGTTGTTAAGTCATATATATGAACTTTTTAAATTTTGAGATACAGACAATTATGTTATAAGTACTTATATTTACTTGTTTAAAGGGCGGTTTTCGTCGCCCAGATATGGAAAAATATGTTATATGTAGTTATATTTACTTGTTTGTAGTTATATTTACTTGTTTAAACTTTCATGGCAAATTTATATTTACTAGTTTAAACTTTCTAGGCAAATAAATAAATTTGCCCTTTTTCAATCTACAAACCTTGTTACTTTTCTATTTTCCCATACATAGTACACAGGGCCGAAGTTTGGTTGTAAAACAGATGAGATAAATATACCGGCTGTTATAACATAATGTTATCTAAAGTTAGCAATCATTTACACGGGGACTGCAATGTACTTCCTTCTGATATTGTTTTATTTTCTCCAGCATGTTACATTTAAGAACAGAATTTAAATTTATTTACATTTATAAAATTTCAATCAATTCTCTCTGACATTTTAAAAGCCCTAGCCATTTTAAATAAAATATATTGTTAAACTGACATTTGATATTAATTAAAAGAGTATTTTAAAGAAGGCAAAACATGTTCAGCGCAAAATCTATTTGAACGCCTTAATAGGAATACCTTCTATTTGTAAAAGAGACAGTTAAATCAAGGGTAATGCGAACAATATTTAACTAATATAAAGATAGTTGCTGACTTTTTCTACAAATAGATGTAATTCGACATTAACAATCACTTAATTTATTAAAGTCCTGAAAATGTAATACAATTTTCATGGTGTACTTAAAATTGTAACACATTTTAAAGGGATCTTAGTTATATATCAAGGCCTGGTAGATGAAACGTAACATATATCAATGTCTGGTGGATGATATATTACATATATCAATGCGCACTTGACATATAACATATACTTATGCATGGTAGATGATGATTGACATATACCAATGTCTAGAGAATGATATACAACATATATTAATGCCTGAAGTGTCGATAATTTACATTGATAAAGGTGTTATATAAGTTTTAACATTTATTTTATCCCGACCCCAACATTTACACACTTATGAATAAAACATACTAATAATAGACAATGATTAAATATGAATTAAAAATACTTATGATACTAGTGGTCATTTCTTTTCTTATCAATACAAACAAAAACTAGATGTTTCTCATTTCATTGTGTTAAGAAAATATGCATACATTGTGTATTTACAAAATGGAACGATTGCACATTTTCGTTCCTAATGGAAATATTGAAAGTTAATGCAATAATTCAAAAGTCTTTTACATAAGTGCTCAGTTTGTTTGTTTAATTCACTGTTCTTCAAATGATGCTACGACTATTTCATGTAAGATTCGTTAAATGTGATATATTCTAATTGGATACTTATTTTCTCATTATCGTCGTAATTGGACTGTTTGATGTTTAATGTACATAAGCGTGTCTTGGAAATCTGCATTGACTTAATTACGTGTTTGTATGATAATGTATTTCACAACCAGAAGTTGTCCACTTTTAAAATATGAAATTCCACTCATTGTCATACATGTATAATGTGTTCTGTAGATTGTAACAAATAAGTCAATAAATTTTTCTAGTAGTTCTATATATCTCTCATCATAAGAGATTGCTACGAGTTATAGTTATAGTTGCAGGTTCATCCGATAGTAAAAATTTTCAACTCTCGATTTGAGGTTTTAACTTGTCTATAGTTCAATTGTTTAGGGCTGAGAAGTTCAAAACATTACAAACAAATGAACGACTTAGTTAAGTTTTCAGATTTACTGTTTTAGAAACTACACCGATTTATTGTTTACTTTTTTAATCGGTTCTCTAAGATTTATACAAACTGTAAAATTATATGAAATTTGCTTACATTGAAGTCTTTGAAGTTGTAATCTTAGAAATTTTGTTATTACAGTAGTGTATGTATGTTTGATATTTGTAAGTAAACCTGGTAATCCTTTTCCATACAAACTGGAAATTGGCTGTGTGACCCCTAATATGATTATTTAAGGGTAGACCAAACTGCTAAAAGATACTTTTATGACATAATAATCTATGATGGTGCAAGGGCTAATAGTGAGAAACAGTCAATGAATTTAAGACTAGCCCGAATTCCAGTTTTGAATTTATTCTACTATATAATTTAATTTTGCATATGGACAGAAAATAACATTGTCATTGTATTAAACCTAAGTATGCAAAATATAATATTCAAGAGCCTATGCAAACACTAGAACATTCAGTTTTTCATGCAGGGAAACCGCTATGTCTTTTAAGATTTCAGGCTTTACTGCGGTAACTTGCGTGTAAAAAAGGATCTGTTCATAATCAGCCTTGATAGAAAAATATACATTGCATTGATTCCATGCGTAAATCCGACGATATTAAGACCCGATGGAAAATTTTGACACTGAGAAGGGGCAAACCTACGTACTCGGATGTTGCATACCTTGTCTATAACAATATAACGCATATAATAACAATTAAAAAATATTATAAATTTCTTGTTATGTATGGATATATTTCTTGTTATGTATGGATATAACATTACATGAATAACAATATTAATAAATTTTAGGTCAAATCAATTTGACTAGCACCTTTGAACACCCCGAGGACTAGTCTTCCCTACGTGATTGAGTCAGAAGGGCCTATAAGTGCCATGCTAGCAAAGAGTGTAAGCAAAGAACATTTAAAGTATTTGCTCGAGATGTTGCTTCGAAGGCAGACAAATTGACGTTTGACGAAATTAGTGGTAAATTATTATTTTCTATGTTTCATACATTTGACATTTCTAAACATGAGACAAGGAAGCCAAAAAGAAATTGGTGAGCATCCAAACTACAGAATGCCATCACGAGACACCCAGCCAGAAAGACATTTTCACAAAACAGATTCTTCCCCACATATGACATGGCCTTAATTATGAACAGTGGTTAGAAAAAAATTTGTAAAATGTAAATTCTTCAAAGTTGTGTAATTGTATTAGTTAAACAAATGGATTACCTGATGTACAGGAGGCCAAGGCGCTTGTCGCAGATTTGTCAGTCAGACTTTATATTCCCGTTTAAACCGTCAACAACTTGTATAAGTGATTTTAATAAGACAAATTCTTCTTTATTTTCTCAAGATAATAGAAGAATGTCTAGAGCATAATATAACGCTTCTTCCATTGAAGCTCGATGAAAGGCGCGCTTAAATAGATGACAAAAGCAATTAAAATATATAATAATCTTTTGTGCTGTATTTTTTATATATTTTAAAGGCATTCATCAGAAATAAATTATATAATTTTCTTTAAAAAGTTTCAAATGTTTTAAGAATGAAACAGAAGCATGATACGCTCTCATCATTTGAAGAGAGAAATGTTTGAAGTGAAATAATGTCATAGATATAGCAAAATGTCAAAAGTGGTATTTTGACTTCCATTTAAAATGCCATATTTCTATAACTATCCTAATTACTTTTATAACATAAACAGCTGCGCATATGCGCAGGAGTGTAATAAAGCATTTTAATAAAAACGATATTACATAGAGGATATTTGTTTGTTTGTGTGTAAGATGAAATTTTATTTCATCGAGTGGGCTCTAAAAAACAGTATTTTTGAGAATACTGTTTTTAAAGTTCACGAGATGATATAAAATTACATCTTACACAACAAACAAACAAATTTTCTTTTTATTTTATGCTTAAAAAACAAGTTAAAACGAAATTTCCATAATAGTAACGTTAATGTTAAAATCTGTTTCCCCATTGAGAGCCCCATTTAGTCGGAATTTCTCATTAAATACAAGAAGTCTTGAGCTGAGAAATTTATTTCGCTATTTACTCGTACATCAAGAACGAATGATCATAAATTAGACTTATATATGTTATAAAAATCTATAAATGAAATTTAAAACTGAGATTGTATATTTATAAACATACTGCACTATGCGACCTTGTTTCTTAGTGCAGAAAATATTTCTTGTCCTGAAGATGTTATTTTATAGTTGAAATCTCACAATTAGACAAGCTTCTGGAATCCATAAACTCACATTATGCTAGATCTTCACTTTTACTGGTTAAAATGTAATGATTTGGCATTAATACTTTGTATGATGTTTGTATGTTTATGTATATATTATACAATATGTCTGTCTTTGCCATATATGTTTATTGTAAATATGGTCAATGTCGATAGCCAATAAATTTTGAAACCTTGAATCAAGTCTTGACTAACAGAAAATATCTTCTTAATTGATAACAGTTCTATATAATTATAATATATATATATATATATATATATATATAATATATATATATATATATATATATATATATATATTACACGAAATCGTATATGTATTTAGTAATAGAAAGAGCACTGAAACACGAGGCTATTTTATTTGTTCGAGGGGGCATAGCCGAGTGTTTTGCCGAGTGTTTTGCTGTTCTTTCTCCTTTGTATCATAATCAAACACGTTCCCTGTTGCCAGAATATGAAACCCCAGAAAAAAGAAACCAATGAACGAGCACCTGAATATAATATTTCTGCCGCATTCCCTTTCTCTGCCGTCACAATAAGTAAACCGCAGCATTATTGAGCCAAATCAACGGGCATGATCTGGAGTGCGGGTAACTGCACTCCAATTAACGCACTGTG